GGTTTGGCTTGTTTGTGTGGGTGTTTTTGTTTTTGTTTTTGTTTTTGTTTGGTGGTTGTGGTTTTTTGGATTTTGTTTTGTTTTGTTTTTGCGAAAGACTGTTCTTGCCAATAAAAATCAAATATAATGCTTTTTCTTAATGTGGTTCAATGCATTGCCTGCCATTAGCACAGGCGTATCAGCTGAAAGATTCAATGCCAGTATTGTTAGCCAATATCTGGTTAGGTTATTTGTACCTTGGTATGTCCTAACTTGTCACTGCAGTTTCTGACCATTGTTCAGAAATTCTATTAAATTACTGTCTTAAAATGTCTTTCAAAATCTGTTTCTCACAGGAGACAGCTGCCTYTAAACAGTCTTCTCAATTTATGTTTTAAACAATGTTCTTTTCCCACACTAAGAAATCCTTTCAGCACGGAGGCTGCAGTTTCTGTAGCTTCAGAGTCTCCCAGCCCAGCTCCCAGGTGCTGTGACGGATAGAGCTGAACGGGCAGCCTGTGCTGGCAGTGCCACGATGCTCAGGAATGTTCTGGGTTAAGAGAATAGAGGGGAAAAAAAAGACCTTTAAAAAATTTGAAAACAGAAGCAAGAGAGAAGGTTAAAAAATATAATGGGGAAAGAGTAAACTAAAAAAAAAAAAATGTAGAAAGAGAGAGAAGATTTCCAGGAAAAGAGTTGTGCCATGCAAACTGATGCACTTCTACCAGCCTAGCAGCTGTGGACATCCTCCTCCCCCAGGAATGGACACAGGTTTCCATGAGGCTGGCTTTTTCCTTTCATAATTTTATGTGATGACATTACAAGAGAAAGCAGGTCACAGACTTTTGGACACTCCTGGATGTCACAAGAGGAAACAACGAGGTTGAAATAGCCACCTGCCCACATGGGCAGGCTGAGCTGTTATTGCTGAGCACATTTKTACACTCTGCAGAAATGCCACTTACATTGATTTCCTGATGCAACTTGGTGGTGGGAAACAAATGTTTTCTGAAGAGTTTGGGGACTGAATCACTGTTGTTAAGTGAGATCACTCGACTGGTTGATGGGAACAATGCAGACATGCTCAAGCATTTTTTCATATCTGTTTCTTTCATAATCTRTATTCTGAAAAGCAGGACTACATGAATGTGACTAGTAAAGGCTACACACTCAAAGGTTTTTTGTCAAAATCAGCTCCTCATCCAGCCAGGAAATTATTACTACTTTTTAACTACGTAACTGGACATTTGAGAAGCATTTTGAATTATTGAGGAAGCACTAAGCATTMTTTTGAAGCAGTTAATAGTTGGCCATAAAAACTGCTACCGCTTAGAAAAAGTTTGTTTGTTTGTTTGTTATCTATTTCTGTGCATAGAGACAAAATCGCAGTTCTAGCACCTTGGTAGTTTCAAAATGGATCTTGAGTATAGTCTGTAATCTGTCTCTGAAAAGATTGAATGTACTGAACCTTGCTATTAGAGTTCTGAAGTAAAACCAGCTTTAGAGACAATTGCCAGCCATCTGTCACCAAACTGAAGCACCAAAGCAGGCCAGCAGCACAGGGAGGTGCACCACTTGAACCAGTCCTGAGGATGACAGTGGACTGASAGCAGGCTTTATAGCAATTCACATTTGAAACTTATTCAAAAGTTGTTACTCATGAAGTGGAAAGGGGAGCAAATGCCCAGTGAAAATGTAATTATATTTGGGTTTTTTTAAATCTAATTTTGGGTTGGTTTGGTTTAGTTTGTCTTCTTCATCTGGGTTTGAGTCTGAATTTTGCTTTACTTAATATCTTAAAATTTTTATGACATTTGTGTGAAGCATAGAGTCAAAAGCTTCTGGTGGGATTGGATTTCTGGACCTGCTGGTGAAGTACCACAGGGATAATTAAGAATTTGGAACATCTTTCATCTGAGGAGAGGCAGTGAGATTTGGGGCTGTTCAGCTTGGGGAACAGTCAAGGTGATCTCACCAATGTGTTCRAATGCCTGAGAAAAGGAAGAAGAGAGCCAGGCTTCTGGAAGCACTCCTCAGTGCTTCCCAGGGACAGGACAAGAGGCAAATCAAAATCCTTGAAATTCCATCTGAACATAATAAGACAGTTTTCTACTGTGACTGAAAATTCACACTGGTTGATTAGAGAAGTTGTGAAGTCTGACCTTCAGAGATAAGSAAAACCTGAGTAGTCCTGGGTAATCAGCTGTAGGTGGCCCTTCCTGAACACGAATGTTGGACAAGACGACTTCAGAGGCCACTTCTGACCTGAACCTTTGCTGCTCCCCCRCAAAGCAGCTGAGGGGCACCCAGAGAGGCACCATGAAACACAGGTGAACAAATGTAGGGATTTTGTGTGTAAGGATGGGGAAGGCACCAGATGGGCATCCAGTCCTGGGCATCAGAGTTTTTAGTTTTCTTTGCGCTGTCCTTATTTCATTTATGTGTGTTTATCTTTCCTAACCAGAGCAGTTGATGTGTAATATGTAAGCTGGAGCTGCTAGTGCTGTCTGTGCTACTCTGTTTTTCCCCTGATATTTATGACTCCTGAAGCTCCTGGCAATGGATCACTGGCTGATGATGTGCTGAGTTTGCATGGGTAATTTAGGCACCCTTGTCTGAAAAATTAGCTCATMGCAGTTCTTGCTACACAAGACCCAGAAAATAAAGATTATCCTTGTTCTGAGCAAGTAACTCAAGAAAAATTTGAAGAGTATTGGCTATTTTTTGACTAGAAATGAAATMATCATATTAAAAATTGTGGAAGTGTTATCAGTTTTATAGGATTGGTTATTAAATGGTCACCCCCACTTTTATGAAAAGAGGGATAGGAAAGCCCTAGTTTATTTTTATTTTTTTAAGCATGGCTACCTTGTACTTGCATCCATCTGCATTCTTTCACACCACCCAGCTGAAAAGTCAGCCAATTCAGTAAGACATTTACTGATTTGTGTCCAGAGGTATCTAGAGCCCAATGAAAAGGTGTCAGTGCTACAGCCCTGTAAGCACAGTGGTAGTTCACAGTAGAGACAAATTGAAACTTGTGGGCTCGAGGGTTTTCCAGCAACATTAGAAGTTTCAGAGATGTGAACATTATTGATTTTCATATGCAAAGACATTGCTGACTGGCTACATGACCCATTTATTCAATTTAGAGGAAAAYGGTTGACCAAGGAGTACCTCACCTTGAGGAACCCAAGGCAGTTTTGCATTCTGACTGTATTGCTTTCGCCCAAGATCCTCTTCCAGGAACAAACTAGCAGTAAGAGGCTACTCTGCTGTCCACATGCTGTGTGTGCTGAGGCTCAGGGTGCTTCATCTGGCAARCCTGACCAGCATTTTCAGTGTTTCGATACAGAGCACATTTCACAGGAGCCCTAAAATGCACATAAGGCCTCAGGTCACCAGCATCTCCACTTTCCAAAAGATCAAGATCTCCTCCCTTTCTTGGCTCTTTTTGTCCCCAGAGCACCTCATGAGCACTTCAGTGCTGGTGAAGCTGCTGTGACGTGTAGATGGTTCTGTGGAGAAATGCATTTCCCAGAGCTTTGGAAGTGGGATCCTTGAAGCTGGATTTGAATCCAGTTTGGCCTGCATGTGTGCTTGTCTGTGTAAATGGTCAGTGGGACCAAGGCTGCAGTGAGTTAATTACCCAGCTTGTCTCACCTTTCTTCTTCCCAGARCTGACACATATCCCGGATGCAGGCATGGTATCCCAGAGGGACAAACAGCTGCTGSATTTGACAGACCATTGTCACTTTCAGTCATTGCAGTTTAAACCACTTTTTCTGATATGCTTAAGGTCCTCTGTGTTGCTTCTGAAACACTAAAGGAGTGAAAGCTCTGCCCTTTGTGARTTTTCCAAGAGATTGCTTTTACTTCCAACAAAAATGGTACCATGGAAATTTTGTTCTAGACTAACACCAGCTTTCTTYGTCTTCTTGCATACACCTCAACCAGTTCTAGCATCTTGACATTTGACTTAGAACAATACTTGCCTCACATTGCTGGTGTTGCTTCATGACTTACAAGCCTATCCTTGGAGTGATATTCTTGCATGTCTGGAGTGGTTCCTGAGAAACCTGCAGCATTTGGCTGTATTGGAAACAGGCCAGACACAGATTGCCCAATCTCTGACCACCTTTGTAAAGAGTGATCATCCAAATATATGCTTTTACCACCTCTGKGTGGGGATGCAGGGATCTTGCACATTATTTCCCAGTGCCCGTGGCTCTCAGTGGACTTTTAAAGTGACTTGATAGCCAAAGATGTCCTGGTCCTTCCACAGAGCCCTTCCTGGAGCCCTTCCTTTCCCAATAAACAGCCTTCTGCTCCTACTGGGGCAAAGTCTGCCCTGGAAAAGGACTGCTGAGTTTAAAATGGGCAGCAAACACCTTTGCTTTTAGATGTTAAGTCCTGGAAAACATACTCTTCTGAAAAACTCAACAGGGAAGTTTTACACGCTTTGCAGTCCAGCTTCCTTGTAGATAACAGATCTAATGCTTTTTAAGGGTAAAGGTTTAGAAAAGGGKTTTTTTTTCCTCTCTGGGCCTTTCAGAAAAGTGCTGCCATTAAGTTTTGTGGAAAAAATWAAAAAAACCCCAAACATATATTTGGCATACTTCAAATGTGAAGCCTTTTCTGCATTGCTAAATTAAACTAATGCTCAACTACCTTTTCCTCGCTTGACCATTACTTAAATGAAAGAAGACCTCTCACACGATAGGGAAGTTCTTCWTTCTTGGAAACCTTGACCCTGTTGCCAGTAAATATGGAGTTACCGTCTAGAAAAATGTCACAGATGATTGTGGTCGAATTTGTTGAAAGTGGAGCAAGATGTGTAAAAAAGCACAGCAAAAATACCGATCAGGCACCACATGAGCAATAGGTTATCTACGTGAGCATCTCGGGGAAGAGACTACTTTGAGGGTTAACAAAATTAGGTTAACCTCTGTCATCTAACCAGTCTGGCTGCATCACACATGCTGCTGTGACTGTAGAGGCTCGAAGATCTGGGAGCAAAGATGAAAGTATGTTCTATTTTCAGATCTGGGCATTTTTTATTTCTGCTTTGTCTTTTTGCTGTGGAAGGCAAAAGATCACCTACAGGAAAGCATTCCTGCCGAAAAGGACTCCTCTCCCAGGTGACAGAGAACCTGTATATCAAGGCAACTAGTTTAAAATCATCTGTTCCTGTAAGTTGACCCCACTAGTTGAAAAAGTTAATTTTATTTATAGATGATTCTTTATTAGTTTAATTACTGAGCTTTCTGGAAACTTTAATTAAGTTGAATGATCTCTGCAGTGAGGGATAGGGTAATGAAGCTACTTCTTTCGCAAAGGTGGAACAAAATGATGTACAAAAGGTGCATAGAGAGGCTGGATGAGTTTGACGTTAAAGAGGTTTGTAGCTATGCTAGGATTGAGCCCTCATTCTACATCTGAAGAAGATGATGAAAATTAATATTATTGCTACTAAGTTTTGTACAAACCAGACTTGAAACTGTCTCCCTTCCTCTGCTCAGGTTAATTATATTACTGCATCATATTTTACAGAAGGATCTCATCAARACCACAAGACTGCTTAAAAAGACTACAAAAGTGCTGTTTATGGTAAGATTTATACTACTGATTTTCCATTTTCTTACTTTGATATTCATTTGGTCAATAGAAACAGGAATATGTGATCAAAAGCAATGACAGCCAGTGCAAAAATTGGGAAAGTTTAATTGGGAAAGGCATATATGAAAGCCACATGCTTAATGAAGTCCTCTGCTTAGCAGGAGAGTGTAATTTCTTAACTTACTTTAGTATAGACCTACAGGCYTTCGGTGTCCCTCTAATTTCACAAATTGCCTTGGGAGTGAAGGCTCCTCACTTGGCTGTGGGACCCACACACAGACATCTGCATTTGGGTGGTGTAATCTGCAGCTGCATTGCCCTCCTGATAGGAGTCTCACACCTGATACTTCATTCCATTGCCTAAAAACAGGTATATGGTAATTTGAAATTCCTTGAGGTGTCCAGGAGAACCCACAGGTCAGGCAGATATGACAGTGTTGATGTGGCAATATCAAATGGCACGGGACACAGATGTGGAGGAATGGAACAATGACACCCACCCACAATGACGCTTACAATTTGACCAAAATTGTCTGACTTGCCTCCCCAATTTATCTTCCATTTATTCTTTGTGTGTTAAGTACATTTGCTGCTCTCACTTGTGCTCATGGTTTGCCTTGCTGATTCTCCTGTGCCTGCCAGCACAGCACCCTCCTGCCTTTCTTCCAGAAACTACAGGGGTAGATTGAGCTGTTTAAAACAAAAGGAAGCAGATCAATGGGATAACAAAATTCATTAAAATGGTTTTATTGATTGCACACTTTCTAAACATGCATGTTTTTATGAGGCTGAAATTTTAGGCCGAGCTTGACTTGCAAGGTTTTCATTTGGCAACTCGTTACTTGATTTGTTTTCAGACAAACTGCAGCGTTCGAGATCAGCTCCTCTCCTTCTATATGAAAAACGTCTTCAGTCGTCTTGAGGTGGGAAGTGACAAGTTGTACATTATTAGTGCCTTCCAGGTCCTGCAAGAAAACATGGATGCCTGTGTAAGTATATTCCAGAGAGCTAAGCTAACTTTGTCCCTCTGAAAAGTTGAGGAAGAGCTCTGTCTCAGTTTTTTGGCAGACAGAGAGGGTATTCAGAGTCACGGTGTGTCCCATGCCACAGAGGACTCACCTTCAAGAGAGCTTCCCCACCAGGGCCAGGGAGGTTTGACAGCACTCATTCCCTCCCAGAGTGATCTTGTGGAGAGCGTGCAAGGTGGTGAGGATCCCATGGAAACACGCCACTTCCCTTCTGATGATGTCACCTTGTGCTGCCCCCTCATCACCAAAGCTGCAGAGACAGGGTGAGCACAGGGAGAAATGTGGCTCCTCGAGYTTCTGTGATGTAACACTGGTAATGCTTTCCTTCCTCAACAGCGTAACTTCCGTGTGTGTAATCTTTTCTCACACGTCATCTTTGCTCCTCCATACTGAATTTTGAATGAACTGATCATGAGTAAGCAGGAGCCACAACTGTGAAGCACATGGGAGCGGTTCCTGTGCACCAGCTGTGCCCACAGTCAGAGCAGGTTGTCAGGGAGCGATGTTGCCCACTGGCAAAATGTCTCCAGGTGCCCCAGAGGGGAGGCTTTTACCAACACTGCCGAAGTAACCACAGAACAGCAGATAGAGCACACTTTTGCCTGTGCAAATACATTTCCTACCATCACAGGTAGGATGCCAAGATGATATCGCTCATATCTCATTTCTCATCTACTTTTTAAGGGTAAACAATTAGCAACAGGATATGTCTTAAAATTAAATATCCTAAGGATATTTCTTCCCTAAACCTGCAGTCCTCACAAATCACAGTGTCCCAAAACGTGGAGCCTGACTGAAGGTGAAATATATCCAGGCAAATRTCTATAGTGATTTTAGAAAGTGAGAGCAGGATGGCGAATCAATATATAAATGAATTAAATTAATTGAAGCTTTGCCTAATGTGAACTGTATAGCAGCATGAAAGAAAAGAACATTGGTTCYACATGCACAAAAATATTTGCAATGCAAAAACAGCTCCAGAGATGTCTTTGTGGAGTTACAGCCCAGAACTCAACTGGGATATTTGCATAATGTAAAAAGATTCAAATCTCAATGGRAGAAAACTCCACCAGCTTTCAAGTTCTGTATTTAAAGCCATGCTAAACAGTTGTAATTTACAGCCAATATTCACAGCATTCTGCTGTGATCTTATTGCTGTGGTTATCTGTGTCCGTCTAAATTCCAGATAATACAATAATATAATTCCAGAATGAGATAATATAATTTCAGATGGTATAATATGTTTTATAGAGATCTCATTTTTGTTGGAGAAACAATTACATTCTATACAAATGCCAGYACACACTGAGGAGTTTAGACTGTCAGCTGTGACTGAATTCAGAATATCAGTCATTCTTAAATATCACCAGGGACTGTAGCTTGCTAGATAGTTTAGTAATACATTCTGYGCTGTATGGAGACAAAATGCTGCAGATTTCTCAGTGCTCCTGCATTCTTTTCCATAATTAGTGCCAGTGTTTTACTCAGCAGAAGTCTAGACATAACAACTTACGTTTTTCGGTCTTAAAACATACTGTCGAGAGAGATAAGATTTCCCCTGCTAGCAGAAAACAAAAGCTCTTTGAGAAATCGTGATCTTCTAGGAGACACCTAATTTCTGCAAACTATCATTTTTGGAAATGTTTGTGTTAATTCAAATCCGACAATACAAGACCATGAATGTCTTGTATGTGAAAGAATGTGAGAAAGACCTTTTCTCTTATGTGAAAGAATAAGAGAAAAGGTGAATATAGTGAAAGAATCCATTGATCTTTTGCTAATACTCAAGTGAGATTTTCCATATTATTCCTCAATAAATTAGCACTCATTCATCCCTGTACTTAAGCTCTTTACTTGTTATTACCTAGTTGAGATATAAGACGTTTATCAGGAGGGATTTCCACCATCACATGAAACGTAATTAATTTGTTACCTTTCAAGGATGAAGTTCTCTATATATCTAAGAGAAACAGGGATACTTTATATACATATTCACCCCGCATTCTTTCCTGAAGTTGGGCTGTAATTTAGCCAGCTAGAGGAATGTGTCCCACTTAAAAATCCTAATAATATTTGCCTCCCAACCACCCCAATACTACAATATTATGATTCTCACCTTGCCAGTTCTTGGTTTTGTCCAAATAAGGAAGCATTAATATTTTCCAATGCCATAGGGGCACAAGTTCAGTTTTTCAGACATACTTAAGTTCCTACAGCAGTAGCAGATAGTGGAAGTGTTTTCTGATATTTGAACGGAGTGCAGAAGGACAATATATTCCCTGCAGAACCTTTAATATTTCGCTGTCATTGTAGGCAGGGTTTATAGGCCTCAAGCTGAGTTTGAGTGCTGTTTGCAACTCTCAGACTTGCTTGATGGCTCATTTAGTGACTTGCCATTTATGCAGAAAGAAAAGAGTTTGTGATGTGTATCACCACTAAAGCCCGCATACTCATTTAAAGTCAGTTCTGCAACCAAATGATATTTTATGGAAATACGTATCATATAAAATGCAGAACATTAAAAAAAGAAAAAAAAATCTCCAAGCCTTTTTACCACATTTTCATCATGTGAAGTGACTTTAGGAAGCACGAAAGGTAACCTGAAAATGTTTGTGGTCCTTTTTCAAGTACTGTGTGTGAGACACAAAAGCACTAATAACCACCTATTTCAGCAGTCATCTCCTTCCATGGATGGAGGTGAGGACCTTTGCCTTTTTCCTTTTCAAACAAGCCCTTGTTTGTAGATAGGAAAACATCCTATTTTTCCTTTTTTTTTTTGAAAATCCAGATAGCTGAGGAATCAGCAAGCCATGTTGCTCAGAAATCTTTGCCTGTCAGCTCTAAAAGAAACAGCTGTAACAGCTTTGGGTGGCCAGGGCTGAGTGGCCAGAGATGGGTGTGAGGAGAGGGCTAAGTCCCCAGGCTGTAATTGGTCAGACACTGGAGAAACGGGCAGGGAAACTGAGACAAACATAAATTAACTTTATAAACATGTTTGAAGGGCTTGCAGAAATGTGCAAAATAGCTCCCTGTACTTTACAATGGTATCTAGCTCTTAGCCCTGCTTTCCCTCGGGGTCAGAGGTTCTGAGGGTCCAAAGTTGAAGGGCCTTGAATGTTAGAACTAGGATATAATGTGCAAAAGGTCTAACTGCAGCTAATGTAAAGGTTCCTGAGATCAGGAACAGCTTCGTCTCAGCTTTGTCTGTTCTGCCCCTGGAGCAGTTACAGCACCCTGCTGTGCTTTCCCATCCCGCCTGCCTGTGCCTCATGGTGGCCCCAAACCTTAGAGGTACTCAAGGTACCAATTTTTTGTGTTGTAAATTCAACTTGGCAGGAAGCACACAGGCAAAAGAACACATTTGAAGTATTGGGAGGTGCTGAAATGATCACACATTTTACTGGTAGCCCTGCAGTGCCACACTGTGGGCTGGACTCTTCCTCATCGCTTTGCCTCTATATCAGCGTCTTTGGGGTTTTTTTTTCATTCTTCAGCTTCCGTGTGCTCCATCCACAAGGTTAACTTCTCCTRTCAAAAAGTTAAAGAGGAAGTTTCTCAAGGTAAGAACAGGAGATGCTGGCTCCCCTCTGCATTGCTCGAGGGCTGGAGCTAGTTTCTTTTCTAATGCCTTTAAATTCTCAGCAGCTTGGAGATAAGGGAATCTACAAGGCCATCCATGAGCTGGACATTCTCCTTCCCTGGATTCAGACCTACATCCAAACTGTCTTATGAAGAGTGAGAAGGTGACAAACAACGTGCTGCTCCTGTTCTAAGAACAGMTCACCACTCAAAAGGCCTGAAAACAAACAGAGAGCTGGATGTACAATTTGTCTGGCAGCAACTCCGTCCCAGGGAATGTCACCTTCTGTAGCAGAGGCACGAAGAGGGGTTTCCACAAGCTTTCACGGTTCGCCTGGCACAGCAGCTTTGTCTGTTCTGCCCCTGGAGCAGTTACAGCACCCTGCTGTGCTTTCCCATCCCGCCTGCCTGTGCCTCATGGTGGCCCCAAACACAGAGCGCCAGCAGAACGTGGGGTCTGCCACCCTGTGGGTCACACACCATGTCCCATGTGCCGTGGGCATGATCCAGCCATGGCCTGTGCCACGCTGTGTGAATGCAGCTCAAAGCAACAAGGATCACTTCGGAAAATCCTGCCCCTAAGTTGTGTTTCTGTTGGGGTTTGTGGTTGTAGATTTATAACTGCATACAGAGTTATAATTGTGTACAGAGCCATTCTACATGTAAATAAGGTAAATAATTATATACTGCTTATCTTTATTATTAATTTAAGGTAATAACTCTTCCCTAATAAAATAACATAATTAATGCAAAAGCTTTGTTCTTGTATTCATAAATGACCTTCAGATGTCACATGATCTGCATGAGATCAGGCATTGAGAAAACACAATAAATTGATTGCTTTGACTAGGATTGTAAAGTGATTTGTGAGAGGTTTATGGAAGTTGATGGTAGTGGTTTCCAAAATGTCTTTCATATAGTACAGAATAAAGATGGAGTTCTAGTTTTCCCATATTTTAAAAAATTTACCAGGAGAAACTATCTAGGTGATGAACATATTCCCAATCTGTATGTTTGGCAGTTCCATGGTGCTGAGCTTCTGCAAATTTTCAAATATCATAGTTCTGCTAAGTCAGGAGTGTTTGAAAACATTAGTGTGATGACGCTGATGAGCCTGGGCCCCACAATTAAAAGAAAAAAGAGAAAAGGACCCAACCAGTGAGGAATATATAATCTGCTGAAATTGCTTCTACTAACTTGGCACTATAAATTTTAGCCTGCTTCTTGAGAAAGGTAGTAGAGATGCCTGACAAAAATGTTCTTAAACATATACATTCTTACTCTGGGAGACAGCAAACCTAATGTACCATCCTACGTGGTGATTTTAAATTTGTCAGGGATCTGCTGGTCCAGATCATATGTGGAATAATGTACAGAAGGCACAGACAAGGAGAGAAAAACTGCCTCATACTCCTCATTCCAGAGAATTGCCAGCTTCCACTGAATGCATTGCATGTTTAGAAATGAGACACAGATTTCATCCTCTATTTTATTAGTAGTTATGTTATATTGTTTCATTATTTGTATTTTATTACTAGAGGGAGTTGCAGTATATGGCACACTAGGTTTTGCTGCAGTACCTTACCAGTCAACTGTATTTTATCTGAACAAACCGTATTATAAAACAAACAAAATCAGAGCATAGTACTCTTGGCTCTGAGGCATCACCTCCAAATTATTTTGATCTTACTGAATTCCTTTTACTTTTGGTGATTTGATATCCTTTCCTTACATAGCAAAATGACACCTAGAAGGCTAACAAGACCAACACACATTCCTAGCTCTAMCTTTTAGATTTGATGAAGCTGGTTGTTGCCAAAATGACACATTCAGGGAGAAGAAACAGGAAAAGCTCGCCCAAGTGCTTTAATTAAAAGGAGGCTGCAGAGGCAGACCCAGGCAGACACTTGGCACCTTTGCACAAAAGCCCAGGGCCTATCGTGGGCACACATTGCTGGAGCAGGAGTCTGAAGAATGTGAATCTCGTTTCARGGTGAGCTGGGCACAAGGAAAGGGAGGTGTGGCTGGATGAGTATGTTCATTTGCTCATCCCTAAGAGCATAACTCCATGATTTCAAATGTTTGCCTTGCAGACAAACAACTACATCACAGTTCCGCCATCCTGTGGAGTCAATATTCAACATCAGCTTTCAGAGCCATGGCAAGTRTCTAACTAATAGAAGGGGGTTGCTTTGTAAAATATGTTTTTTCAGTTTTTCATTTTTTCAGTTTTAGTTTTTTGGAACACAAAATGGTTAATTAGAGGGACAGTGGCAAATTTARTGCCATGGTCTTTTTTGAGCATGTGTTTTAATTTTTAATTAACACAAGGCTCTTTTTCATGGATTGTTTTCACACAGTTCACCCATTTGTTGGTGAAATTTAGGTTTGCTTTCAGTTTTAATGTTTTTTGTCCAAACTTTGGTATGTGGAATGGAAAATTGAYCATGGGCGTGGCCTCACCAACCTTCCTCAGACATCACTGTCCAGTACTCGCAGCTGGCAGGGAGCAGTAGCTGGGATTGAGGGCCCTGTGTTGGTGAGAGTTGGAGGAGCTGCTGCTTCTCTGCTCAGAAGGGAGCCAGTGACACCTGCAAACAGAAAACCTGCCACATTTAATGAGGAACATCCATGGGCAATGGTTCCAGGTGATCCAGGCTGCCAAAGATTTTTGTGTGGAAAATTTTGTTTCTGTGGAAATTTTGCTGGGCTAACACAGCAAGTCAGGGGGTGACACATGAAAACACGAGGATACCGATGCCCTTTGAAAAGGGCAGATAACACCTTCCAGTGCCACCGCTTCCTGCGGTGGGTGTGGGCAGCCAGGACCGGCCGCAGCAGGGTTTGAGGTCAGKCTGCACTGAAGCTCAGCCTCCATTCATCTGAGGCTGTCAAGGGAAATAAAATTGTTTCACGGCATAAAAGCTTGGGATTTGCTTATTTCAGCCCTCATTTTCCATRCGGCTTGGGACACTTTGCAGACTCTTAGTCACCTTATCTATAAAATGAGAGTATCTCTGGSCATGATGCATCCCTTCATACAGTAATAAAAATTACATTTCCAAACCAATTAAACACTCCTGAATGAAAGGCAAAATACAGCATCTGCAAAATAAATGTCTTTACTTAATGCAAAAATGTTGTGGTAACAGATACATGCCATATGCAGGCTGTCTAACAACAACTACTGCTTTGAACCTTCACAAAAGCTTAGAAAAATAATTGGTGTTAAATATATTCAGCTGTCATTCAAAATAATAAGCATGTACAAAAGCTTGTTTCCTATTGAAACTGGACAAGTGARGGAGTGTATTTTAATTTTACAGATGAGACTCTAGGTGTCACTCTTAGAAAACAAGACTCGAGCTGGTCCCAGTTTGCTGCTGACTGCAGCTGATGGAGAAGGTGTTAGAGCATATTTCATAAGCAGTTTCCTTGGATGGAAACTGCGATAGATATGCAGTTGGGTTAGAAAGATTGGATTATTTATATTCAATTGCCACAAATGTAGAATTGAAATGAAAAGTAAAGGGTAAGGACAATGGGCATATAGCCAAACGTTAATGGAATATGAACTCAATCTCTAGCTTCACTACAGAATTCTTCTGTGACTATAGACAAGATCCTTTATTAAAATACTGTTCTCCTTTGACAAATGGAGAAACTGTCTATTAATTATTTGTTCAAGTTAATTTATCTTTTCTTAGCAAACAGAAATCCTCAGAAGGAAATTATTCCCCATGTAGCGTTAATTGTCACTGTTGCTTAGTGTGGCTTATCACAGAGTTTTGGTCTTTTTGAAGCAGTGACTCTTATTACGTGGAAAAAAAGGGTATTTTATGGCTGTTATTGCAAAAGCAAGAATGAAAAATATGAGGCTGTGTATTAAAATTGTCACTAGATCACAACTTCTTGAAAAACACTGATCTAGTGGAAAGTAGCAGCTGCACATGCAGTTTTGGTGTAATGTAAATAGTACAGCAGCAGTCAGCGAAGACAATTTCCATCACAGACAAGACCATGTGCAATTTTCTGGTTTCCCTGAAGTGTTTTTTTTCTCTGAAGTGCAAAATCTTCAAAGTAGAGATTATCACTTAAAAAATAATTTCTGCTGTAGGCTTAACCATCTACTGCAAATTCCTAATCTCAGCTGGAGCCCTGAAGTTTTGTTATACTGTAGTCATAGAATTTTGGAATCATAACATCATAGAATTGTTCAGGTTGGAAAAGACCTTTCAGATCATCGACTCCAGCCATTGTCCCAGCACTGCTAAATCCACCACAAAACCATATCCCCAGGTGCCAAATCTACAGATCTTTTACCCACCTTCAGGGATTGTGATTCAACCTCTTCCCTGAGCAGTCTGTTCCAGTGCTTGACAACTCTTTCAGTGAAGARATTTTCCTTAGTCTCCAGTCTAAACAAGTCCTGGCAAATGTGGTATAGTTTCCAACAGAGAGCATTAGAGGAATTAGAAGATTAGATTAGAAGACTGTTTCCTGAAAGATGGAAATTAGAATGGGATTTGGACAATGATGTAACTTATGTTGGATTTGGCTGTTTGGTCGCTGTTTCTTTGTGCCCACAACATACATCAGTTTCTGGAGACTTCAGTAACAACCTCTTCACTGCGAAGATGCATGGCCAAAGGTGACACACACAGACTTTTGGTCTTGTGATTARTGAGGTGCTCCCCAAATAGGCCTTGTAGCCACTGAGCCCACACAGTGTCCAAGTCATCTTCCCCTCAGCAATTGTGGGGTTGCCAAGAGAAGGGGCGTCTGGGCAGGCAATGCTGTCACAGGAATGGGATGGATGCAGCAGCCCCTGTACAGCTGCAGTGGTCACCTTACAGCTTCTCCCATCTCTAGCCAACCTTCATATTGCAAATAATGACTGCCCTGGGGGTATCCCCTCCTAAAAACTGCCAAAAACTGCTGAGCTGTRGAATAGTGACTCTCCAAGAACATGTGTGGAGAATGGTCTCACCTCAAATTAGTTTTCATTGAAAAATCAGTATTTCAAGTGATGTTTCTGTTTTGTTAGATTCGGTGGAACAGCAATTTGGAAATGTAAAGGCAGTCGGTCTATTGGTGTGAAGGAGCATTGTCAGAGGGAAAAGGGAGGCACTAAAATACCATCGATTGAAGGTGATTATCATG